AGGAGGGATTGCATTGGGAGTTATACCTGATGTAAATGACGAGTTGATGGGTGCTGACGAGTTGATGGGTGCAGCACGCCAACATGGCACAGGTATACATATGTAACAAACCTGCACATTATCCACATGTACCCTAGAACTTAAAAAAAAAAAAAAAAAAAGATGAATGAAGGGGACATAAGCCAAGGACTACAAGAAATTCAGCTCCAGAAGTTGAAAAAAACAAAGAAGTGGATATCTGCTGACTCTGGTCAAAACCCCATGAAGGCATTTTAATTTCTTACTTCTAGTATTGTAAGGGAATAAGTTTTTCCTATTTAAAACCACTAAGTTTGTGGTAATTGTTACAGCAACAATAGGAAATTAATACAAATAGTTATAAACGTATATTTGTCTGTAACTCATTTTTCTCTTATTAGATTAGAAAGAAAACTTTATAAAACAATAAATACAAAACAGATATAATGGCTAAGATGTAATTTCTATGACACTCCTCCTAGATCACAAAGGAGGAAAGAGGAAATGGAGATAAAGTTTTGCATCCCATTAAAATTAAGTTAGAATTGATACAAATTCAGTTGTTTTAAATTAATACACTAATTATAATCCCTAGGCCAACTACACTAAGAAAATTATTCAAAAACATTGTACAAGAAAAAGGAGAATTAAAATGGTACGTCAAAAATATCCTTTTAAAAGTAATTCAATAGTGGAGAAATAAAGGAACAAAAATACACAACAAATAGAAAACAAATAACAAAACAGCAGATGTAAATATTACCTTATTCATTATTGCATTAAATATAAGTTGATTAAGCATTTCATTCAAAAGGCAGAAAGTAGCAGAATGGGTAAAAAAAAAAAAAAAAGCATGATCCAACTATATACTATCTAAAAGAGAATATATTTAAATAAGCAAATAAAATTAATGTGAAAGGATGGAAAATATATAATATGAAAAGAATAGCCAAAAGAGCCAGATGAAAAAGACATTAAGACAAAAAATGTTATCATAGAATAAAAATGTGTTATATAACAAGTCTGATCCATCAGGACTATACAAAAATTATAAACATATATAAACATAAAACAGATTTCCAAAATACATAAAGCAAAAACTTACAAAATAGAAGGAAAAAATTAGGAGAAAATAAAGACAATTTAACAATCGTAATTGGAGACTTCAAAACCACACATTCAAAAATAAAAGAAACAAATAAGAATATCAACAAGGAAATAGAAGACTTAAACAAAACTACAAAACCAACTGGAATAACAGACATGTAAAGAACACTCCAAACAGCATAAGCATACACATTCTTGTCAAGCACCCATGGAACATTCTCCTGGAAAGACTACATAACAAATAATAAAATCCCATATACACTTAAAAGTATTGAAATTATAAAAATAATATTCCCTGATCATAATGGAATTAAATTTGTAATGAACAACATAAGGAAATTCAAAAATCCTGCAAATATGTGGAAATCAACCAATATACTTCAACCTGAAGGAATCATGAGAGAAATTGAAAAATACTTAAAAAAAAAACACACATAAAAAGTTATCGGATATAGGTAAGCAGTATTTAGATGGAAATGTGTAACTGTAAATGTCTACTTTGAAAAAATAAAAATCCCATATCAGTAAACTTCCATCTTAAAAAGCAACAGAAAGAAGAGCAACTTAAATCAAAGAAATCAGAAGGAAGGGAATAGTAATCACTACAGTGGAAATAAATGAATTACAGAATAGAATATCAACGAAACTAAAAGTTTGTTCTTTGAAAATATAGATTAAAAAAAAACCTGACAAAACTTTAGTGACACTCACCAAGAAAAAAAAATGATGAAGACTGAAACTATTAAAATCAGGAATAAAAAAGGGGTCATCATTAGCAACTCTACAGATGTAAAAAAAAGATTATAAGGTAATACTATTAACAACTGCATGACAAAAAAATGAGACAAGGTAGATGAATGGGACGAATTCCAAAAAAGACACAGCCTACCCAATTGACTTAAAAAGAAATAGAAATACAAGTAACATCATTAAAAATGGTAGCGTATGGAACTCTGGAACTCCATAATGAGCAATTAGTGAGCTGGCAAAAACTGTTACCATCAACTTTCTCAGAACTCTGGAATCCAGTCAAAAAATTATAACAATGAAAGGGAAACGTGGTGAAGAATAAACGCTGCCAATTTGTGGTAAGAAAAAATTTTCAATTGCCTATCTACCACTCTCTATGCCCCAGATCAGCATTGATCTGTTGATGACAGCCCACTATCCTGGTTTAGATAGCTAGTACCAGTGGAAGGAATTTGGACCGTATTCTCGAAGAAGTGTGGTATGGCGATCAGCCTGCCTGGCAGCACTTTCATCACTAAGGCTTCCTTCATTACACCAGACTGGGAGGACTCCCAGGGCTTGGGCTGCATTGGCTCTCCAGTTGGCTTTTGCCAGAAGCATTTAAAATCACAGGTGTTGGCCAAAGAAGTCTGGAGCAAAGGACAACACTCAGAACAAGCAATGGACAGACCGAGAAGCCTGAGAAGGAAGAGTTTGGGAAACAAGATATGTGGAAGAACAAGCATTTTAAAAAAAACTTTTATATATACTGGAAAATCAAAAAGACCATGTGTATGCTGAGGGTGGGACACATATTCAGAAAAGACCAGAGAAAATGCAAGCATTCAACTTAGGTGAAGCTTCAGGCTCTGCATAAGGAAAATGTAAAGCATTAAAAAAGTACTCCAACTCAGAGTTCATTTGCAAAGACTGGGAAAGATTTTTTTTTTTTTTTTTTTTTTTTGAGATGGAGCCTCATTCTGTAGCCCAAGCTGTAGTACAGTGGCGCGATCTTGGCTCACTGCAATCTTTGCCTCTGGGGCTTAAGTGATTCTCCTGCCTCAGCCTCCCAAGTAGCTGGGACTAGAGGCATGCGCCACCACACCTGGTTAATTTTTTTGTATTTTTAGTAGAGACGGGGTTTCACCATGTTGCCCTGGGTGGTCTTGAACTCCTGAGCTCAGGTGATCCACCTGCCTTGGCCTCCCAAAGTGCTGGGATTACAGGCGTGAGCCACCGCGCCAGGCCAAGAAAATATTTTTTTATTCATCAATTTTCTTTTGTTGACTTTAGGCACTTAAAGTAACAGCATCCACACACCAGCTGGTTAATAAGCAATAAAACACAGACTTTAGTGGCCACACAAGACAAAGAGTACATAATTTGCTAAAATGGTTTAAAAAGTCACTAAATAAGTAAACAATAACCCACAAGAGAGCAACAACAAAACCCAAGGAAGAGGGAGAATCTAATTTCCAGAGTTAACATATTAGAATCAAAATACACAGATTTCAACAAAACTTTGTGAGGCATATAAGGAAATAAGAAAGCATAGCCCATACACAGGAAAGAAATAATTAGATACTATCATGAAGAAGTCCATGTATTAGAATAACAAGAAAATATTTTTAATCAACTGTCTTATATATGCTCAAAGAACTAAAGGAAATCATAAACAAAGGACTGAAGAAAAAGAGAAGAATGTCTCAGCAAATACAGAATATCAGCAAAGATGTGAAAATAAAAAGAGATATAGAAATTATAAAATAAATAGAAATTCTGTATTTGAAAAGTACAATAACTATAATTCACTACAGGGGCACAACGGTAGATTTGAGCAGGCAAAAGAATCAGTGAACTTAAAATAGGTGAATTGAGATTATTCAGTTTGAGGAGCAGAAAAATAAAAATAATGTGAAAAATGAAGAGAGCACACCTATGCATGATGGGTGTTCAACAAGAAGAGAAATAGAATAGGGCAGAAAGAATTTTCAAAGGAAGAATGACTGCAAATTACTCAAACTTGAGGAAAGACACTAGTCTATGTACCCAAGAAGTTCAATACACTCCAAACAGGATAATCTGAAAGAGATCCAAACAAAAACATGTTATAAACATCTTGTCAAAACCCAAATATATGACAGGACACTGTAGTGACAAGAATATTAGCAATTTTCTAGTTCTTTGGGTTCAGTGGTGGTTTCACAAATGTGAAAGAGAAAGACAATGGAAGGAAAGTAAACAGTTATTAGCAATTTTCTAGTTCTTTGGGTTTAGTGGTGGTTTCACAAATGTGAAGGAGAAAAACAATGGAAGGAAAGTAAACAGTGGGGAGGAGAGGAGAGGGGAAAGGTGGGGAGGAGCAGTAGGCAGTGAGAAGAGCATGTTGTGAACCAAGGGCTGTGATGAATTTATGGATCTGAAGTTCATATTAAAAACGTTTGAATGCTTTCTTTTCTAGCTGTCTGACATTCTCTTTCTATGAAAACTGGTCAGCTGTTGGAAGGTAACTTTCAAGTGTGGAGAAAGGCCAATGGAGATGACAAGAAGGAAGTTGGTGAAATCAGTTTGGGGTACACAGGCTTTTGAAATCAATTTGTGTTACAGGGCTTTGACGCACCGTGTCCCTCAGAGGCGGTGATATCCAATAAACAACTGGAAAAACTGATATGAGACACGGAGAAGGGAATAGCCTGGAGATGTAGATCTGGGAGTCATCGGTGCTTTCTGGAAATGAATGAGATCACACAGGGAGAGACAACTTGAGGACTGAGAGAGGAGGCCCAGGACAGAACCCCAGGAACACCGCCACTCAAGGTGGCAGCTCAGCTTCCTGGCAGGCACCACTACCCCGGGCTCTGGAGTCAGGCAAAGCCGGTATTGAAAGTGAGCTGTGGAGTTCTCGGGCTGAGCGCTCTTGGCAAAGTCGAGTACCCTCTCTGATCAGCTGACACACCTGGCGATAATGGGCATCAGAGAGAGATGCCCTGTGAGGATGCTGTGAGCTGCGTCAGGTAAAGCACCTGGGGTCAGAAAGCCACCCCTCCTCTTCTTCCTGATGACTCCCATTCCTTTGTTACACACACACTCTCCCACCTTCTGCAACTTCCCAGTCCCTCGGGATGGATGGTGAGGTGGGCGGGAAGGGGGTGGTGGTGGCCTAGCTCTGGTGACGCGGTGCTCACGTGAGTGACCAGGCGCCTACGTGGGCACCAGCCCCCGCGCCCGCCCGCCCGCCCTGCGGTCCGGTCCAGGCGCCCGCGCAGAATCAGCTGTCTGAGCTGCCCAGGCGGCGGGGGAGCAGCGAGCGGGCTTCCGCGAGCCCGAGGAGGCACAAGCCTGTCCTGGGTACCCGCAGGTCAGTGTGAAGGCAGGCGCTGCCGGCGGACCCTGAGATAGGGGTGGAGGGAGCCGGTAGTAGGATTGGGGAGGGGGCGGAGAAGGGATCCTGTAGATTGGTGAGAAGGGGGATGAGGAGCGGGCCGGGGCGGGGGCAGGGAAGGGAGAACCCCCGAAGCGAGCCTGGCCCATCTTCTCGACGCCCCCTTGCACTGAGCCCTCCATCCATTTTAGTGCTGGAAAGGGGGGGGGGGTAGCGACCCCGCAGTGCGACAGTGAAACGTAGACATATTCTGGAAATAACCCCCTCTCACAATCCTCTCCCATGTAAACATCTGACCTCCGCAAAAACGGGGTGGCGCTGAGACAGGTTGCCTCCGGGGGAAGGGCACTAAGAGACAAACGCAGTTTGGAAAGCATCCTGGTTTGGTGCCCGAGGCCTGGAAAGAAATGGCGGTTGGGGTGCGGGGGAGGTAGGGGAGAAAAACATTGGGTGAGCAGGGCCTGGACTCAGGAAAGGGAACCGAGTCCCCTGTGAGCCCGCTGAGCGCGCAGTCCCTGCGCCTGTCTCCTGTCTGTCCGCAGGTCTGCGCGTCTGTTGTTCCCAGCGCTCTGAGAGGCCTGAAAAGGAGGAGCAACCTGTCCAGAATCCCCGCAGGTCGGTGAAAGCAGGGGGCTGCATGGACGGGGGCTCACAAGGGTTGAGAGTGTGGAGGGCCCGGCCAAGGCCGAATTGGGACCCCTGCCCATCCCCCTACCCACGTGAACACACACCTTTCCAGGCTGAATCCGTTCAGAGAAGGAGGCAAGGCCTGCCAGGGAATGACTGGCTCACGTGTGTGGGAGGAGTGATGGGCTACCTGGCGGGCAGAAGGCCCTCTTGGAGGCCCGGCCAGCTTAGGGGAACCCTCACCAGGGGTGAGATGCAATTACTATTCAGACCTGCATTCCACCCCAGGCCCTCAGTCTCCCGTGTCTCCTCTTTGTCTCCTCTTCCCTTCACTGTCATCCCCCAGGACAGGAAAAAGAGAAATCTCGACATGGAAAAACCCTACAATAAAAATGAAAGAAACCTGGAAAACGAGGGAAAGCCAGAAGATGAAGTAGAGCCTGATGATGAAGGAAAGTCAGACGAGGAAGAAAAGCCGGACATGGAGGGGAAGACAGAATGCGAGGGAAAGAGAGAGGATGAGGGAGAGCCAGGTGATGAGGGACAACCGGAAGATAAGGGAAGCCAGGAAAAGCAGGGCAAGTCCGAAGGTGAGGGCAAGCCACAAGGCGAGGACAAGCCAGCCTCCCAGGCAAAGACAGAGAGCCAGCCACGGGCCGCCGAAAAGCGCCCGGCTGGAGATTATGTGCCCCGGAAAGCAAAAAGAAAAACGGACAGGGGGACAGACGATTCCCCCAAGGACTTTCAGGAGGACTTACAGGAAAGGCATCTGAGCAGTGAGGAGATGATGAGAGAAAGTGGAGATGTGTCAAGGGCTCAGGAGGAGCTAAGGAAAAAACAGAAAATGGGTGGTTTTCATTGGATGCAAAGAGATGTACAGGATCCATTCTCCCCAAGGGGACAACGGGGTGTCAGGGGAGTGAGGGGTGGAGGTAGGGGCCAAAGAGGCTTACACGATATCCCATACCTTTAATGCCTTTGGCCTTCCACTCTGACTTCTCTGATGAGATTATTGCCAATCCTGCTTTCCCTGGTAGATATTTGCCAGGCCCAATGCTTTAACCTTAAGCTGATATTTTTGCTTTAGATGTCAATCTCATTACCAGCAGCCTTTTGACCCAACTACAGCGCTCTATATTTTAGTAGAGGATTTTCACCCATGTGCATGGAAAAGATGTTCATGACACATTGTAAAAAAATAAATAAATAAAGAACAGTTTGCAGAACCGCATATACAGTATCAGGCAATTTTTATAAAAATGTAAATGTTTGTATAATGCATTTCTGCACAAAGAAAACTTTTAAAGCGTGTACACTAAAAAGTAGGCAATGGTTATTCCTGAAGGGCAGCCAAGAATAGGTCTCACCTGTGTTCAAAAATGAGTCCTACCACCTCTTTTATGTACCTCCATGACATTCCTCTGCTGCTGTGCACATCCCTGTGTCTTCCCTAGGTGTAGCCAGGTCAGTGGGCACTGTTGCTGGGTCCTCTATCATGTTCCTGGGTCCTCTAACATGAGTGCTGGGTCTGCACACATGTTCCTGGGTCCTCTGTCATGCTATGGCACCCCAATGTGTGACTCTTTTACTTTGCTCACTCATCTCTATCTTTTCTTTACTAAAGGATATGGATTATATTTGTCATACTAAAAAATAAATAAAAGCTGAAAACATTACATAATAAGAAATTGAACTGTTTGGTGAACTTACAAAGGCAATAAAGACACAATTCCTGTTATCAGAACATAAGATGACAGGTAAAATTCATATTATGTCTGGGACTAAAAACTAAATGAATCAACCTGGAAATTCTAACAGATCTATTGCTGTAAGAGTCAATCTTGTCATTTGTAAAATAAGGATAATACTTGCCTCACAGGACTACCTGGTGGATAAGATGAGGTATTGAGGATGTGAGCCGTGTTGTGGCCTGGTTTCCACCAGGTACTCAGGGGAGAAATGGCTCCTAAACTATTCCCCTACAGTGGTAGGAAAGTCAATGGAATCAGACACATTGGAGGAGGGCTGAGGGAGTTCTCACCATGTCTAGGAATATTTCCAGGCAGCTAAGAAGTAGATGCCACTATCTCCTAGATACTGCCACGTCTGCTGGGCACTATGCCCTTTTTCCCAGGTCCTGCACCCTTTACTGATAGAGGATTTATGGTGTCAAAGCCCTGTCATTTTCTCTGGAATCACTGGTAAGCAACGTCCACCAACTCATGACCCCCATAGAAATGGGTAAAGCCCTCTCTCCACTTTATAGTTATAGTAACCAGGTACACATGGATATCACCTTGGTGCTGCTTGGGCCTCTCATTAATATCTTCCAAATTCTTTTTATGCCAAAACGATCATTTGTGTGTATTCCTGATTTGTTTGTTTTGCATACATAAATATTCTCCTCACAAAACTCAGATATTGCAGGCTAGGCCAGGAAAACATAACTGCATGATAGTGGTTGTGCTGTTCTCATGGGTTAATATCTTGTCTGCAGATGCTCTTTTCTCTGTTGAGTTCACTCTCAGGAAACTTGTCAGGTAACACTTTAGCAGTTGAGCAGACCCATCAATACATTTGAGTTTTAGATCCTTTGTAATGAACATGTTGTGGTCCATGAACCAGCTGCATAATCATCACCTGGGGAAGTAATTAAAAATGCAGAATCTCAGGTCTTGCCTCAGACCTACTGAGTTAGAATCTTCATTTTAACAATATCCCAAGAAGATTCCTATGCACACTGAAGTTTGAGAAGCACCGGCTTAGAAAGAGACCCTTCAGGTTCCCCACTCCCACCTTTACATAAAATATGTGCCTAAAAATATAAATATGTGTGCTATATAAGACACACATCACAGATTATTAAATAAGCCCATGTTTTTCAAATTGAAGTTGTCCTTCCCCCATGAGAAGTAGATCTTGAAATCAATTCAATGGGTCAAGATAGGTAATTTTTAAAAAATGAAATAGGATAGAATAGAATTGAATACAGCCAAACAGAAAATATCAAATATCAAATAGCATTCTAACTAGAGTGAATATTTTTTGTGAACTTTGTTTCAGTTATGTATGTATGTATGTGTGTGCACCATGAGTTATGACGAAAATCAGTTTCTGACTGTGGGCTGCAGTAAAAAAAAATGAGAAAGACTGCACTGGATTCTGCATCTCAAAACATGGCATGTCCATTTTATATTTGTATTTCTAGTGCCCAACACAAGTAACTGACAAGTAGTAAGCACTTAATAAAAATGTAAATAATAATGACTGAGTCTCCAAGTTTAGCCCCTGTCTACCTAAATAACTTTGGACAAATAAATTGTCTAACAGGGTTTACTTACACTCTCCAAAGTACTGAGGAGTAATGGGCTTTACAGGCTGTATAGGACGTACTATATATAGCAGAATATCAGCAGAGATATTAGTTCACTATATACAGTTAACAGTAAAAGCTTCCCTTACTAAAGAACACATATTCAGCAGCACCAAGGAGAGTTCCCGCACTGTAAGGGGTAAAACTTCTCAGTCCCTGGAAGACAGGCACTGCAAAGTGAAACTGAACAACTGTGGAATCTGTGTTATAAAAAGACCCAGGGTTGGGAAAGTGGCTCATGCCTGTAATCCCAGCACCTTCAAAGGCTGAGGTGGGTGGATCACCTGAGGTCAGGAGTTTGAGACCAGCTTGACCAACATGGTGAAACCCCGTCTCTATTAAAACTATGAAAAAAAAATTAGCTGGGCGTGGTGGTGGGTGCCTGTAATCTCAGCTACTTTGGAGACTGAGGCAGGAGAATTGCTTGAACCCTGGAGGTGGAGGTTGCAGTGAGCCGAGATCGTGCCATTAAAACAAAACAAAACAAAACAAAACAAACAAACAAACAAACAAAAAACCCAGTGGAGGGTTCTGTATATGCCACAGGAGCACAGCCTCACAAAGGAACAGAAGAAATGCCAGAGTGGGAAATCATGGGTGGTAAACTGCCCTAGATGGGTAGCAGTTAAGTACATACCTGCAGATGATCTTACTACACTTAGCTTGAAGGAATTAAGACCTTAGATTTTAGAGACAATATGTATTATACTGATTTTGTTCTTGGACTCCATATGGTTTCCTGTTTTAAGTGGTACCCAGAGCAAGAAAAAGATCTACAGTAGTTCCAGACTGTAGTGTGACCTTCTCTGATACTTCAACCTCATGACCCTGCAGATCCAATTGTATTGTGTCCATGCTAGAAAGTGAGGCTCCATGGAGTTTTAGAAAGCCCCAATAGTAGAATTCAAGTATATGCCTCTAGGGTTTTTTGAGCAAAATCATTCCCTCTTGGCAACTAGTCTACATTTGAGAATCTGCTCCTGGCGTGCTATCAAACCCAGTAGAGACATAACAGCTGACCATGAAGTATTAATTTTCCATACTAACAAGCTACTCTTAATGAACGCATTGCTGTCTACTCTGTTGAATAATAAAGTTTTGTGTGGACATCAGCTTTCAACCATTAATTGCAAATGGCTTTAAAAGATCAGACCAGAGTAAACCAAGAAGGCACAAGTAAATTTCATGTGCAGCTTGATCAGACTCATTGCCTCTCTCTCAACCAACATATATCATATATGGCATCTTGGTGAATTCTTCATCCTTGTGACCAGTTAGAAAAAGAGATATGGAACAATGTATCAATTCCTGGTTGTATCTTCTTGGTATATTGATAGTAGGTGCAAGTGGATGGCTGCCTCACTGTAGTCCCACTCGGGGATAACCCAGAATAGTAGAAAAAAGACCCTAGGATTTGACGTACGATTTTGGGTGAATCATATGGTTGTCCATTTTGTACAGAACGCTTAATGGTTGGAGGTATGAATCTACCCTGCCTCATGAGCAATGACTAAAAGATTGGTTGGTCAAGTACTTGAAGAGAATTAGTTGGACAATTAATGATGAGGAGGATTTTAGATGTCCTAGATATCTTGAGGAGGATTCAAAATTTCAGCCAGACTGAGTTCTCATTGGAAGTTCTGGGAGGAAATCTATGTCCAAGTTCTTTCATGTTGCTTTCAGAAGTTGCTTCCTTGCAACTGTAGGAATGTGGTCCCCAATTTTTTTTTCTGGCTGTCAGCCAAGCCATTTTCAGCTCCTAGAGGCCATTTGCATTCCTTATGATGTGAACCCCTCCAATCTTCACTGTGTACCTGCACATTGATTCTTTCTAAAGCTTCTAATCTCTGATTTTTCTGTCTCTGACTCTAGACCCTCATCTAAAGGGATGATGTGATTAGGTTAGGCTCACCCAGATTGTCTCTGGATGTTATGATCAACTGATCTGGGAACCTAATTATATCTGTGAAATCTGTTTACAGTAACACATAGATTAGTATTGGATTGAGTAACTGGAGGAAGATATATTAGTATTGGATTGAGCCCACACTGTGGGCTGGTAACTTGTGGAAACCATCTTAGAATTCTGCCTACCATAGTCTGCCTTCAGGTCCCCAAAATTTATTTCCCTACCAAATGTAAAAATACAGTCAACTTCTCCCAAGATTCGCCAAAATCTCATCCCATTACAGCATGAGCTCAAAAGTAAACATGTCATCATCTAAATTATATAAACCAGATGTGGATGAGGATCTTGGGCATAATCCATTAAGTAAAGCTCCTGAAGACATTTCATCCCATCTGCGGGTCTGTAAAACTGAGGAGACAAATTATTTGCCCATAAAATTCCCAACCTATGATGATGTGACAAGCACAGGATAACAGTTATAGACAAAAGCGGGTAAAAAAATGGAAGATAAAAAGAGATCACTGGCTCAAAAACTTCTTTGTTAGGTTTTAAGGCCTGGAAAAATCCTTTGTGGCACTCAGCTTCACTCTCTGTTCACTTGGATGTGTCCTCTGGACTGTCAGGTCTGTGCTCTGAGCTCTTGGCTCTGCGATCTGAGTAATCCTTCCTTTTTCATTAGATGCAGCCTGTGTTCTCAGCCGAGTAGTTTTATCAGATCATTTCTTATCAAGAGAAGTTTGGGGATCTCACAACCTTCTCCCATGTTGTACTCTATCACTTTCATTTAGAGTTGGCAGTGTTTATACTGATATAATTTTCTTTAAAATCTTGTGAGGTGAGCCTTGCATAAATTACACTAGGTTTTACTCCATTGAAGAAAATTCACATTGATAGATATTTTTGAGATCATCTTTCTCTATTTTTTTCTCTTGCTGAGGTAGCTGAGTGT